CTGAGCTTCACGACGTGCGCATCGTTCTTGGATCCATGGAAACCGTTTTTTTAAGCGCGAGGAGATCGACAGGCGGTTTGCTGCTATTGAGAATGCCCAGAAGGTTCCGGAGGACGTCGGTGTGCTGGATGCGATGCCGAAGATACTGGTGGTGGTGGTGGTGGTGGTGGTGGTGGTGGCGGTGGCGGTGGCGGTTAGGACCTTTAGGATGACCATGGAAGAAGATTGCACTTTAAGTTTAAACATGCCATGACGATGACGATGAACAAAGAAGAAGATGATAATGATGAAGGTGATCATGTTCATGATGACGATCATAGAATCTTCGGGGTCAGGTGGTTTCGCTTTCGCTTGGCTTGGGTATAGGCCATACCTTGGCGTGGCTCGTGCTGCTGGAAGTCCCTTCGCGAGAAGAGACTCCTGTCGAACCAGCCGGAAAGTTGGGGGCCTGGGGCTTGGGTAGATGATTTCCATCGTTGCCCGAAGGTCAACCTCCCCCCCTCATCATGGATGTGGATCGGCAGTGCAAGCTTTTCTGAAAGCTCTCCTCCCACCAGCAGGCATGAGCCTTTTGGAAGCTGATGCTTCTTCAGGACTTGGAAAAGCGCTTGGCAGCTTTGGAGCAGAAGTTCGCCGCTGGCCCCGCAGCCGGGCCGACAGGCCCTGCAGCAGCGGCAGAGCCAGGGGAGGCCAGATCGGTTGTTGGCTTGAACTGGATGTGACCTGTTGTTCGTTTAGGGTTTAGGGTGTAGGGTTTCGGTGTGGATGTGACATGTTGTTCGTGTTGGGGCAAGCTTGAACCTGAAGAGACAACCCAGAAACCAAAGCCGCGTCATGCGCCGCACCGCAGGTTGGCTCACAGCTTGTAGGTCCGTCGGCTCAATGAGATGGCCTCAGCGGGTCAGGTCCCAGCGAGCCTTTCCATGCGGCCTGTTTGGCAAAGGCCGCCCAGGCCACCCAGGCTTGGAAACGGCTCGCCTGCGCCTCGCCTGCCCTGGGAGCCCAAAACGGCTGTTCTGCGAGGTGCTCGAGGGTCAGGGGCAGAGGCCAAGAGATCTAGGCCTAGGCCTGCTGAAGAGCTGACGGGGCTGGGCCGCGCAGTGGAGATGTCGCGGGGAGTGGCTTTGCTGGCTTGGCCCTTCCTGATCCACATGCTCTTCCAGCTCACAGACAAGCTGAATGCCTTCGACGGCCTCTTAGGCCGGAACCTCACCATGCGGGTGCTCGTGTATGTAGGCTCCTCCATGTGGCTTATGAAAGCTGCTCTCGCCACTGATCTTCGATACACAGCCCGGGCACTGAACCACCTCCTATCCCGCGTGTTTCAAGCTGCGGGCCTGGATGGTTGGCTCTCTGAGAAGTCGTCTGAGTTCGTCATCTCAGTTCTGATGCGGGTTTCTCGGGTGACGATTGCACTCGCAGCACTGACGCCTGGTCCAAAGCAGAAACCCCAAGACAATGGACATGAGTCATGTTTTCGACTAGGAAGTCTTGGTAAGTCTGACATCCTGCAAAGACTTGCGCAGGGTGTGCTTACAAGTGCCGAGGAACTTTGGCTTTCGTGTGCTTCCGACCACTTGGGAGTTGGATCTGTCCAGTTCAGAGTCTCGGCGCATGTGCGGTGAAAGGTTGTTGGTCGTGTTTCTTGCCGCCGCTGTTGTCCTGCGCCGGCGGCTGACGCAGCTCCTTATTCTTTTGCTGGTACCGTGCGACATGCTGGCCCATGCCAGGTGTGTAGAAGACGCCACGAGACCACACGTACATAACATATGACATATGGGTGCTCACTGGCAGAGGGAATGAGGCGGCATGGAATGTAACAAGAACATGTTGAGGTTCACGAGAGCTCAGGATCCATATTTCCTGCTGCTGGATGCAAATGGAGATGGTATTCTTGCCGCATCCGAGGTTTTTCATTTTGCCACCTGGCCTCCCTTAGTGAATGCACCAGGATTGCTTGCGTGAGAGAGAGTGTTTCTGCTCGCTTATGGGAAGCCTTCCAGGTTTTCGACATCAGCAACCGTCTCTGGCGCGCTGCCGTGACGTCGGTTATCGGGCTCTGTCTGCTGCAGCTGAAGAAGCCCCCGGAGACCAAACTTATCTGGTCAGAAGCAATGGAGACCGGTCACGGCCCGTTGAGCAAGCTTTCTAAGATCGTTTATGCCATGCAGAATCCTCGTCACGGAGAACTGCGTATGCTTGCGAGACGGGTTGCCTTGGGAAGCCGTCTTATTAGTTGCACCATCGTCCTGAGCCTTTTCGTGCTGCCGTGGGCCTACTTTTTTGGCCTTCGCCCGCACCTCGTCTTCGCCTTCGGGGGTGTCGGTGGCCTGGCGGTGGGCCTGGCAGCCCGAAGCTTTGTTGGCAATCTCATTGCTGGACTTCTGATTCAGCTTAATCGCCCTTTCGTTGAGGGAGACGAGATAGAGGATAAGAAGAACAACCTCAAGGGCGTGGTTGAGGAGATCGGCCCAATCAACACGCATATCAACAGTTTGCAGGGTGTAATGGTTCATGTCCCTAACCAGACTCTCTTGGACGACGTTGTCATCAACAAATCCATCAAAGACTTTCGACCTATTGAGGAGTCCCTTTATGTAGTACCCTCCTCGGCCTACAGCCTGCCAGATCTTGTCGGGAACCTGCAGTTATTGTTGGATTCTCATCCATCGCTTATGCAAGAGGAGGATGTGAAACAGCTCATTCAGCTCCGTGGGGGTCGGGTGAAGCTCTTCCGTCCTTTGGCCATGTTTGATGGCTACTGCGATCTTGGAGCGAAGCTGGTGATCTACGCCTTCTGTCGTGGAGCCTTGTCCCGCAGGGACTTCAAGGCCCTGAAGAGCCAAGTGATGCTTTCAATCCACAAGTGCATCTCTGACCACGGCGCCGAGATCGGCCACCTCACCGGAGCCATCCGTGGCCGCGGCCCAAGGCCCCAACGCGCTGTGGCTCCAGCGACGGAAGTGAACAATCGGAACAACTTTGCCTCCACAGCCGGCCAAACCTCGAGTTGAGACCCACCAAACCCACCTTCGCTTCGGCCCAAAGATGCGCCGGGAAGAAAAGAATCGTTTGGGAGCGGCCGGGCACTCTGTCTTCCAGTGTTTCAGTTACAGACGTCATGTGCATCTCTAGGGCAAGAATTAGAAGAAGCAGGGCAGAGCAACTTCGTGCAGGGGTGACGGGCTTGGGCCGGGAACAGGTATCTTGCCATGCCTGTTTTCTCTTCTTGTATTGTGATGATGACCATTGGTTTATTTTCCTCATCATTGTTTCACTAGTCCTAGTTCTGGCTATTAGTATTATTTGCTATTGTTATTATTATTGCTACTCTTGTCGTCATTATTGTCATGATGATTACTATTTTTATTCCCATTATCAATGTTACTAGCATCACCATTGCGAACATGATCGCTTTTTTCAGTGTTACCATATAGACCCATCAGTACCATTATTATCACTCTCTTATTGTTACTGTTGGATCGTCATTATCGTTGTCATCGTTTTTGTTGTTAGTATCGTAAGAAGAATAATAGAAGCACGCGCGAATTCCCAACATATCAATACTGTTGTTTTTGTTATTGATGCCATCGTCAGTATCACTATTTATCATCTTCACCATCAGCAGCATTTTTGGAATGGTATGTAATGATGTTATTCGTGTTGTTATGATGCTGTTTGTTGCCGATGGTCATTACTGTTATTCTCCTTCTCCTCCTTAAATTGTCTGGTTGCTATGATTCTTTTTGTCGACCGAACCTCCCCAGGAGGTGCACAAGCGCTTGGCGGCCATCGAGAGCACCACGGCCACTCACCGCGAGGCTGCCCTGAGAGCTCTGTAAAAGGGGTGTGCGGTTTAGGTCTCGGTTCTTCTGTTTGCTTTAGGGTGTTCTGAACTCGATGACTCTTCTTGCTTGGAGTCAGGACCTCAACCAGAAGTTGGATGCGAACAAGAAGGAGCTGCTGTGTGGAACTAGTTCGAATGAGCTCCGAAGGTCTGCAATTCAATAGCCGAAGCCGAAGCTCGCGGGCTTAAGCGTGGGAGCCACAAGAGTTATAGTTGCATCTCTAGGGCCTTTACGGATTCACTGACTCAGACATCCCCCTCTCACCCACTTCTCTTCCACCAGGAGCTGCAACGCCTGGTGGCGTCCTTGGAGGAGATTGGGGGAAGAGTGTTGAATGCTGTAAGGCTGTAACTCATGCCATACTCGAAACGAGAAGCAATTCCGGCAACAAGGCCCGCAAAAGAAACTATCTGCCAGTAGGTGCTGCAGCCAGTAGTACCCGCGGCATCTCTAAAGAGAAGGATTCTAGCAGCAGCAACAGAAAAGAAGGCAGAGGAGGGGGAGGACGAGCTACTGTCACCACACGCACGGCTTCTTTGTGCGTGCTTCGCGCTTGCGCGCCATCCGCAGGGAGTGTACGAGATGGGATGAACTCCAATCGTTAGGACAAGATTGACAGCGCGGGCGGTGGTAGTGCTGGGGCCGGCGATGACATGAAGAAGGGGGCCGAAGCCCAGATCATGAAGAAGGCAAGCTCCGGGGGCACCGTCCCTTAATTGATTGAGAGGGTGTTTGGATGTAGATGTTAACGCGGCTGGCGTCAGAAACCTGGATGCAAAAAGCCTTCTAACAGACTTCTTGGGGGAGTGGTCTTCTGTTTTGAGATATGCAGTTCAGAAGACTGTCGATGCTTGATTCGTTCTTGTGTTCTGTTGCATCCCTTGTGAGAGGAGTGAAGGCTCGGACCTTGAGGAGTGTTCGCTGGCGCACAATCCAAGCCCATGCTGAAGAATGTTGGGGTATCCTTCGCGCTAGCAGGGTGGAAGGGGAACAAGGCTGCAATTTCGGACTGTAAACTCCTTTTGCAGTTGAGGCATGTTGAAGCTTCGTGCTGAGCGGGCTGGGGGGGATGGCAGACTCCGGCACTGTTGACGTAAGAGCCAAATCCGAATGTCAGTCGTCGTAGCATGGTGCCTTACACATCAGATCCCTCTTCTAGTGAGCAGTTGTGCAGTATACTAGGAGTAGTAATAGCGCAATGCCGCAACCGCAAATTCTGGTCAGGTTGCTACCAGGTTGCAAGACTTTGAGTCGCAGATCACGAGCCAGCGTCTGGGCCGGTTAGCAGTGAGATGGTATTGTCCTCGTGGGTTGCAAATGCCCGGGCATCAGGGGTAAGAGGCTATCGGGTTGGGCATTCTGATCAGAACTTCGCATGCCCCTTTCAGGCTTTTGAGGGGTTGAACGTGGTATAGATTCAGGATGAGGGCTCGATCCATACTTGGTGTTGCGAAGAAAAAGCTTGGCGACAGCCTCAGAGTGACACATCTTTGTATAGATGTCTTGGTTGCTGTTGGTGTACTGTCACATCCTGGACGAGCAGTAGCAGAGCTTCTCAGCAGCTGCTCGGTGGCTTGAGCGGCTTGAGGCTGTCGACAGTTGCCACGGACTTCGACAAGAAGCTCTCCCACGTTCAGCGCTCGACAGGGGCCACGAAGCCAATTGACGGCGCAAGTGCAGGAGGAGGCACCGGCCTCGACACGATGGCCGAGGCGCACTTTTCTCTGCGGGGAGGGCGTTCAGGGACATTTTGGGTTTCGGGGACCAGGATGAATTCAGAAGACTTGGGTTGCAAGCATTGTGAGGATGTGGACCAGCTGAAGTTCGACGTTGGGGAGCTGAAGGATTTGCTGACGAACAGCAAGGGTGAGGTAAACCACATCCGCCGCATTGTGCTGGCTTGCGAGCGAGACATGGAAGACTTCACAGCCGCTGGAGCCCCAGAATGCTTGTTGTGTTGTGTCCTGCCAGTAGCTGCTGAACAAGGCGATGGACGCTGTGAATGTGGACTTGGACGAGATGCGCGCCCGTGTAGATGCGACCCACTCCATCATCACCAGCCGCCAGCGTGTGGAAGCAACCATGACAGCAGAGATCTCGACCATGCGCCTCGACATCGGCGACATCCAAGAAGCTCTCAAGAATCATGACTCCTGGATGGAGGACGTGTCCAACACCCTCCAGCAGATGCAAGAGAAGGAGGAGAATTTGAGTGAGGATATGATCAACCTTAAGAACGCCCCACCCTCAGAAGCATTCCGTCCGTGGGATGGAAGATTGAGAGATCTTCCGATCAGGACCATATCAGCTCTCACACCGCCTCGTCAAACTCAGGAGCTCACAGCCAAGCTCGACACCAAGGTGGACAACGTCGCCTGGAAGGAGGCATTAGTTCCGAAGATGCTTCGATTCCGCAGAATCTGCGGAATTGAAGTTTCGTTTGGGACCAGTGCGTGGTCTGTGGGCGCCCCGGCAGGCGAACGACGACCTTGACGCGGCTATCAAGACTGTTCGCGACATGGTGTCCTCTCTTCGACTGGATGTGGATGCCCGCCGCCGCAAGGTGATCTGTCCCACCTTTACTTGACCTGAGAAATCGGGCACACGGAGCTTTCTTTCTTCATGTAGTGTGGTTGCATGATTCCAGACGAAGCCGGCCGAGATGAAAGCCAGGTGGACGAGATTCTGGCCACCGTCCGGCATGACATCACAGCTGTCGAGACGAATCTTGAGGACTCCCCTGTCCTGTTTGATGCATCCCACCCAAGACTGCGCTTTTGCAGGAATCCAAGTCCAAGCTAGCGATGGACACTGACCATGTGCCCTGGCTGCCATCAAGTGCAAGCCCAGAGGAAGAAAGCAGAAGACAAATGCATGCACTTTGGACACTGATGCAGTTGAGCACCAGGCTATCAATGCTCTGAATGGCCGCATCGACTTCACGAACAAGGATCTCGCCGCAACCCAGGCCTCGTGCCACAACGTAATTTCCTGACAGAGTGGGGTTTCAGAGTGGGGTCGTGGTGCAGCCGTGTTGCTTACGGTGCAGTTTGCGCAGGAAAGCCTCCACACAACCCAGAACTCCCTCAGCGATTGCTTCAACGAGGTCCCCGTATTCCTGAGCTGCATTGAGTGCCGTGATCTCGCCTTCATCTTGTGAATGCAAGCCGGGATTTTCAGGTGGCCGTTGTCAGAAGCGACTTGGAACGGAACGTGGCAGACACCGAGGCCGATCAGGGCCAACTGGCTTTTGTCCATTTTGCCCCGGAGTGCGTCTGAGTGCCCCCTCAGGAATCATCGTGAAACGTCCCTGATAGGCGCGGCTCAAGAACGACAGCCGCTCGAAGCAGCAAGAAGTCATGGAGAAGATTGGAGATGTGGAGCCTCGGAGGGCACCATATAAACCCCGCCTCTCTTCCTTGCAGCTACTGCAGCATGTCACCATGGATGCAAAATTCAAAGATGAGAGCATAGAGACTACGCAGCGGTGGCCCCAGGAGCAGCAGTCGGAGCTTCGTTCTGCAGAGTCCTCACGCCGGCTGGGAGCCCTCGACCTCCGCAGCTCGACTTAGGTGGGCCTTTTTGGGGCTCCCACAGAAGGACAGCCCAACACGCGCACCTACCAAGGCATGAGTGGAGTTCAGGGAGGCTTGGGAGAGCAGAAGCGTGACATCCTCAAGCTTCGCGAAGAGGCTGGAAGCTAATTCCACGGGATGTCAGCATGCTGCAGACGCTGCAGACGCCTTCGTGGTGAGGTGAACGGCCTCACAGTCAAGAGTGCCAGCCACGAAGTGGATATCCAGAAAGGGTCAGATGTGTCTCGGCTGGAGGAGGTAGTAGCCTGTAGAGGACCGGATCAGTGTACGGCCTCCATCGGAGGCTGTCAAGAAAATGGAGAAGCAGCGCAACTTGGACGGCCAGAACTTCAAGGCGCAGCTGGATGCCATCCACGATGTATTGGACACCAAGGCCAGGTCATATGAGCGACATGCTGAACATTGCTGAACTGTTTGAATGATGTTTTGCAACAGCATTCGGTGAGCTTGGTCGTAGGTCAATGAGAAGCCCTTCGAGGACGTCAAGCACTGCGTCTCCTCCCTGACCAAAGGTGCTCGAACATGGCGTGACAAAGAGCCATGTGATCACAATCACTTTCATTTGTGCAGCTGCACATGCACAATTGTGTATGCGCAAGTGCACAGACATATGTTCTCTTGAAGCTTGGGTCCAGGTGTCGTCAAGTTCGCGCAGGTCGTCGGTGTTTTCCCTGGCCCACGATTTGACGATGCTGAGGGTGGCGAGGGGGCGGAAGCTGACGTCGAACTCCTGGGCTGGGAGGCAAGGTGCTCCTATTGGTCTCAGCAGTGGGCAGCCTCGAACCTCACTCGAGAGCTTGGCAGCTCTGCCGGGTGTCAGGAGAGCGCCGAGACCTTGTCGTTCCGGGTGGACAAGGTTTGCCTTGCAGGGTGTTGACTGAGTCTTAGTTGTGGTGCTAACAAACCACCACCACCACCGCCACCGCCGCCGCCGCCGCCGCCACCACCACCACCACCACCACCACCACCACCACCACCACCCACAACGGCCACCAGCGACGTCCACCGCCAAATGCATCGCCACGGCGACGACACGGCGGCGACGACGACACTGGCGACGACGACCACGACGACGACGACTACCACCAGTGCCATAATACCAGCAGTAGCATTTCCACAGCCTGCACTTTGACGACTGCAGTCAGTATCATGTTTGGTCACCCCTTCTCGTAGCTCTTCTTGATAGCTTGCTGAGATCTACCACAATTGCAGGCTTCATGTATTGAGGAAGTGATTCAGTAGAAGCTGGGGCAAGCAGGCCTGGCGCCAGCGCTGCTCCCAGCGCTTCCGCAACATCTTGGACATGATCGCCAAGAAGGCAGAGAGATCTTCGGGCTTCCATGACGCTTTGAGTCTTGTTCATCCCGGTGGTCTGCGTGCGTGCTTTGTGCCGCATGTTCTACGCATGAAATCTTGTTATCGGCGGACTCCGCTGGGAGGCGGACCACAGCGTCCTGCGTCTCCTCCAAATCTCGCAGCAGCACATCGAGTCACAACTGGAGCTTTGGGATTGACAGCAATGTCTTGGGTGTATTCCGGTGTTTCCTCCGGCTGCCTGGTGGTCTGTTTGGTGATGTTTGGCTCAACGCCAGGAGCGCGTGAAGCACGAGCGGGAGCTGTGGAAGGAGGTCGTGGAGCGACGTCAACAGCAGCCCCTCCAGTTGGCCTTGTCCATGAAAGAGCCGCCGGGCAGCTTTGTGTTTAGCGAGCTTTCGTTTCTTGAGGAATTTAATTCTGCGGATCCGTGCAGTTGGGGAAAATCTGTGTCGCATTGCAGGGGCGGATGCTTCCGAGGTCCTCTCAGTCCACTCCTCCTCTCCCCGCAGCCGGAAGCCAAACTGCTCGGCCTCCCCGCTGAAGCGTCCGGAGCCCAATGTGGGAGAATGGAAGCACTGCGCAGAGAAGGCGTTCAAGCCTGTACAGGATTTTTCTGTAGCAGTAAAGCGGGCATGAGAGCTGTAGGAGGTCAGTGAGGGCATCCTGTCCGTGTCTCTGTGTGTGCGTGGGGGAGCCACAGGTGCTTGCCTTGAGAGGACTGCGAAGCCACGACTCTGAAGCAATCGCACGTTGACCCTGAATTGCCAAAGCTTTCCGTGGAAGGAGCATAGTTTTGTACGAAAGCTAACTTTTTTAGCGCACCCGCCGCTGCATCTCAGAAACCTTGATGGCGACTGAGTCAGGACCGAGTATGCGCTTTGTGCCCTCGTCCTTTTCTCCCAGGCCCCCACCGGCTCCGTTTCTGTCGGTACCTTTGAAATAAAGGAAACAGACACCTATAGACATAGATGTGGGTGTATATATATATATGTATATGTATATGTAGATGGATATATATATATAATGTTGGTTTTCTAAACGTCTGCCGCCCCGGCAGAGATCTTTCATAAGTTCATGCTTGAGTGACGGCACGGGGGCCTGAAAGCATCCACTTGACATCTGCGATGTTTGGCAGATGTGCAGCAGGAGGTGATCTCAGGGAGGCCGTGGGCCTCGGAGGTCTTTTCATCATACATAGACGTGTTTCTCATACTAAGAAAAATATGACCAGAGCCACTAGCAGTCTTCACGCAACACTGTGTGCTCCTACATGTATACAGTCATACATACATACATGCATACATGCATATATATATATACATATATATATATACAAAGGTTAAGTATACGTATACGTATGTATATATATATATACATTGATATACACATACTGCAATCTGTGCAGGTATGGTGCGTGCATGTATGTATGTATGTATGTATGTATGTATGCAGGTATGTATGTATGTATGTATGTATGTATGTATGTATATATGTATACATACATTCCCCCTACACCTCGCCTGATGCGTCGAGCGCGAGTGCTAAAAATGTATGTATGTATGTATGTATATATGTATGTATGTGTGTATAAACAAAGAACGAAATATACACAATATGCGCATGCACATAGGTACGCATATACATCTACATTTTTATACACAGAAATATCGGCATACATATCATGTATACATACACACACACACACATATATATATATATATATGTATACACACACACACCTAGACCGCATGCGGAAGCAAATCAGTTGCACCATTGGCTGCCAAGTATGTGTCTTGGAAAGCGCGGCCTCCCTACATAGAGGGTTGCAACAACGTGGTCGCGGCAAAGTGCCCAGGCCACGTGGTCTCCAAGTCTCGTCGATTTAGTTTTCAAGGTTTAAGAGACCAGATGCAAAAAACAGGGATGCTTGGAAGCAAGATCACCTTTACATGTCGAGACTTGCAACCCTCTCCTGTGCTTGCAGCGAGCCTGTTCATATTGGAGCTGGAGAAGCACCGAGAAAGAAGTCAACTAAAATGTTTGCACTCGTTTTGGGGCCTCTTCTGACTTCTCGGCTCGGCTCCAGCCAATTTCCTTGCCCAAGATGCTTTGCAGCGGTGATTGACAAAGCCTGGGATGCCCCAGTTGGAGCTGCCCTTGCCCGGAGAATGTCACAGCTGTGAGCTCGGCACTGACGAAGTCAGAGCCCTCTGCCCCGATTTATGGCCTAGCAAGGTCCATTCCATTCCACCATTGCCCGCTTCGATCGGACAGAGCCACAAGCGAGAGAATCGAAAATCCTGCGCGGAAGAGCTCTTGCCCCGGAAAATCTCTTGCTTTCGTCCGCCTTGGCCCTGAAGTCATCAGCCAGAAACCAGGTCCTCTCGGGCAGTCACACTCAGTGCGGGGCTTGGTACCGGGTCTCGTCTGCTGTGTGGGGCTGGTCCTCTGTTTAAGCCCTCCCGAGGAAGCCCCAGTGGCTGCGCCTGCGCTGCGAGGAGCCCTCGCGCAAAGGTGAGGACTCTCGGTGTCTTGAGGGACGAGGGGTGCTCACGATTGTCAGCCAGCAAGGGTTGAAGCAGCACAAATCGTGAAGTCCACCATCCACAGCTTGTCCAGAGCAGGCGATCGTTTAGTTCGGCGTCCTTTTCTGCTGGACTCGGCCGCTTGGCTGTCTGCATTGAAATCGCGATTCCGGCTCTCATGCGCCCACCGAGGACGACAGCCTGACAGCTTTCTTGCAAAGAGTCGGGCCCTGCTCAGCACCCAGAGAGCATGAGACCCTAAAGGTTCGAAAGAAGACGACTCTTGGTCAAGTGAGGCTGTGATTTGTCTCGGTCTCAGGCTGCGTCTTTGCAGACGTTTGGGCCAGCGTCAGCTGCTGAGTGATCAGTTTGTCTGTCTGACGACACGGAGCCTGATAGAGTTATTGGCAGTCATCGTCATAGGGTTCGACTTGGTGGAGCCTACTCGATTCACACTCTTCGCCCTATAGGGTTTGTGCTGCTCGCAGCTGGTTCATCGCCGATGCGGCTCGTTGTTCGTCTTTAGCATCCGCCGTGGCATTTCTTCCCAAATCTGAGTTGCATCGTTGAAGCCATTAGGTGGAGACTCTGGGCTTAAAGGCTCCGCCAGATCTCGAGGTGCGACGAGCAAGATTGGGGGGCCGGGGGATGCTTCCGGTGATTCCGACACGGAGGTCCCGGAGACCGGCCCAGCTCTGCTCTTTCTGCACGAGGGTGTCGGGTGCTAAACTTGCAGGCTCCTTGTTTCTGACCGCGCCGGAGATGTTGTTGGCCATTGCAACAGGGTCTTCCTGCCGCAGAGGGCTTCTATATGGGCTCGTCTTGAGCATAGAGTCGCTGGTTGTCCGGCGTCGCCAATGCCAAGCGCGCGCCAGCATGAGACAATGGACCTCACAGTGGGTGACAAGGCTTGGAGGGTGAAAGCTTGAGGCTTTGTACGATCCGTGCCGTTCCCGTCCAATCCTCTGTGATTCAGGTCTGCGTCTTACCCGGCCGGCATTTTCAGGACTTTGCAGCAGGACGTCGGAGACAAAACGCACGATAATATGAATCTGACCTCTTCCAGACGGCCTGCTGGGAGGAGATTCCGGTGTGGTGTCCATGGTCGACCGCAAGGCACAGACCTGCCAGGCCTGGCGGGTAGGACGAACAGGGAGGCGTCATAGGGCACAGAAGTGCAGCCTGAGATTTTGAAGACCGAGCTCCGTCAGGTTTCCGGTATACAATAATGTATGCATTACATGCATGTATTGTTATATGGCTAATTTTCGAACATATCATGCAGTATGCGTGCTGTGCTTGCCTTTCCGGCACTGACGCCTTGCAGGTCTACTTCGACCATCGGCTGGGCTCCGAACCGCTGAATGTGGCTTTTCGCAATCTCAGCCGGGTGGACGGAGGAGGGGTTTGGGGTCAAGGGGTGAAGCAGCGAGCTTGCTTGGTTCATACTGTAAGGCCAAAATTCTGGACTAATTCAGTGTTCGCTCATCTCGCCTTCTTCCAGCCCACTGCCCTTCTCCTTGCCAGAACCATTCCCCTCGGTTCTTGTGATAGGTGGGCCTAAAACCTAAAGCAGGCTTTAGTTAGGTGGAGGCAACAAAAAAACTCAAGCAAAACCCCACTCAAACCCTACCAGTAAAACCCTAAAGAGTCCTCGTCAAGCTAAGTCCGAGTTGTGAGAGCTTGAACCTTAAACCTGCTTGAGACCTCGCCTGGATTGTCCATGATTGTCCGAGTTGTGAGACTGTAAACCCCAAGTGGGCTTCCCATGAGCCCTCAACCCTAAAACCTCGCCCAGGGAAAAAAAACCTTGTTTAGTCATGTCAGAGTGCGAGTGCTGAAACCCTCTAGGCTGTAGGGTTTCGGGTTTAAGGGAAATTGAAAGAGCCCTGAAACAAAGAGTAGGTGGGCCATGCACAGGAGGCTCCGGAAGCTCCTGGCCGCGCGCGGAGGTCCTTCCGCTGGCCGAGGCCGAGGACGAGAGGCCCAGGAGGAAGGCGGAGAGAGTTCCTCGGAGGCCCTTGGCCTATTGTGCTTACATAATCATTCTATTGTATAAGATACCACACCAAATTTATATACTGTACTATATTCGCTGATGCGTTGGGATCGTCTATTGTACTATGTTCTATTCTACCCTTGTCTTGTCTTGTCTTGTCTTGTCTTGTCTTGTTTTTACTACATGCTGTACTATATGATTCGAGGATTTTGGGGCTCGCCAAGGAGTTGGATGTCGCGCCGGTGCTGGGCAGTGCCCTGGGCGCCTTGGCCAGTGCTGGCTACTGGGAGGCGCTGCGGCGAAGATGTTTCGGACTGGGATTCGAGATGCTCGCTGCTGTCAGGGAGCCTTGGCACACCTTGGCTCAACTCCCAGCCCCGCTTGTCCATCAGGCGCAGGCCATGGCTTATATCTGTCGGGCTACACGTAGTAGAGTAGGCATCGAGAGCGAGGGCGGCCTCTTGAGTGGCATGCTCGACGTTAGTGCTCCGGCTCAGTGTGGAAGTTAGCTCTCTCTGCGATCCCGACCCCCACTCAGCATGGCCGGTGTCTTGTGGCTGTCCATCCTGGCCCTGACCCTCGCACCCTCTGCAGGCCAGCAGGCTCAGCAGGATTGTGAGGGGTGTGGGTTGGATATGCAGGAGGATGTCAGCAGCCTCCTTGAGCATAAGAAGCACACCGAGGGGGAAAACGCGGGCAAAGGCTGTGTCGTGACTGGGAAGTACCACTACCCGGTCATGCCAGGCATGCGGATTGAGGTCAGCGAGTGGCAGCATTGCCAGTCCTACTGCCGGGTCACCGAGGGCTGTCAGTTCTTCTCCTTTTGGCCCGACAGTGGCTGTGAGCTACAGAGCGGCCCAGGGGAGTATCGCACGGCGACCTCGGCCTACAGTGGTGTGATCAGTGGCCCTGCGAACTGCGCGGATGATCCACCGGGGGCCATCAACTTGCTTGACATGTCCTTCATGTATTGTGCCGCGCATCCTGATGCAAAGTGTTGCAAGTGCGGGACCTGCTGCCTCCCCTACTGCGATAATGCCAAGTGGACCCTTCGTGAAGGATGCAACTACGAGGCGGGAATGGGAAATCTTCTTGAAGACAGGATCGAGGGTTTGGAGCTCGTTCTGCACATTCATGTTTTCCTCGTAAGTCGTGGCCGCACCTCATCTCGAGACATGGGCACCTCTAGAGCTTAGCAGCAATGTGTTGTGTGTTGCAACTGGCATCTCAGGCATGCCAGATCATGCGGTCATGCAGTGCTTTTTGGATCCCTGTGGCAGGTCACCGGCTGGTGCCATCCCAGTTTCCCGCCACCTGTCTGCTTCGACTGAAGCGGCGCCGGAGCATAGAAAGCCAGCGTGGAATCCGGCTGGAACCTACATCACTACATCCCTTTGATGCGCGATTGTTCTGATAGGTAGGGAACGTAGAAGCTCTAGAAAGGTTAGGGGCAGGTGCAAAAACAAGCACCGGTCTCCTCGACGGCAGAGAAACATGCTCCGTGCGAGTCCCTTCGCCGTGGCTATCATTATCGCGGTTGTGACTGTTACGATCATGATTTGGAGTCTGTTGCTACAGGAACAACGCGTCTTCTTGCTCTTGCTGCTAGTCTAATTCTTCGACATTGATTATGACGGTTAGTATCGGTTAGTACTGTCGTTTAGTACTGGGATTGGCCACGTCTCCGAAATCAAGACGCTAATGGTTCTGCAGCTAGTCCGTGCTTGCTCCTGTCCTGGAGGCGACGATGGTGCGTTGGCTTCCGCACTGGAAGCCTCGGCAGCAGCCAAGGTGCTGCCAGAGTAAAACATAGCAATATAGTGAGATTCGCGAAAGTGAAAGGTAGCAGGTATGACAGCAATACAACAACGGCAGTCAAGATGAGGATGAATGGCTTTGCTAACGATGGCCATAAGAATGATGACAACAGCCGAGTCCCTGAGCTGCGTTGACAAGGCCGAGGTGCATGCGGCGGCGCTGTTCGAAGCAAGCAAAGCCGGTAGGGAACCCCGGTGGTCTGATGACGTTGAAGAGACTTCCTCTCTGTTCGGGTGGGGTTTAGGGTTTAGGGCAAAAGGGGTCAGCAGAGTCTGGGTTCAAACAAGGGTTTAGGGGTTTAGGGTTTGGGGGTGGGGTTCAGGCCTGAAGCTGAAGGATCTTGACGAGAAGGTCGTGCGCCACAATCGCGAGCATTGGCTGGGTTTGGAGTGCTTGCAGGAGCGCAGCTGACACTTCGAAACGTGATCGCCGTACCGAACAGCCGACGTGCACAGGAGAAAGTTGGCGATCTCTCTGCAACACAAAAAGCGCTCCACGAACAGCTGTCTGCCAGCCTGAAGAAGGACAGCTCTGACCGAGGGGTGACTGTTCTCCCACCGTATGTACTTATACCATAACAACATTTCTGAAACGGTATGCGCAGAGGGTGAATTTAAGTGACCTTCGAACATGCGTTGCGGAACCTCACCTGAATCGTGCTAATCACGAGAGTTGAATGACGATGAAGTGTAACTTCTCACAACTTGGGCCGCGAGTGCTGATTTTGCCCCTCCGCTGCCCAAACTTCAAACGGCAAGACTACGAGAGCCATCGGATGAAACAGGTGTCGCATTCAATCCAGTCAATGCTTTTGTGGCGTCGTGTTGAAAGGCTACCTTTTCTGCCCCTTGCCATCCCCCTCAACGGACCTTTAGAGGATGCCTTGAGGAGTCTGCAGCTGTGACCAAGTCTTCTAACTTGACAGCCTGGATTCCCTAGTGGCACGGTCGACCGCTCCTTGGGTTTGCGTCCGTGTTGCTGCGGTTTCGAGATGGTTTCGTGTACTCAAACGCGTCGTATCACGGAGCCAGCAGAACCCTCTCACACGCCTTTTTCGGAGATTTAGGTACTCAAAGGCTCGGCTTCCTCTCAGTCTGGTGCTGCTCGCAGGACGTGCATGGGCTCCGTGAGCACATCGATGAGCTGTCAGCAAAATGCCAGGCTTCTAGAGTGGACTTTCATCTACGTGATGCATGTAAACCTAGGTCCGAGGTGTGTATGTATGTTTCTGTATTGTGTATGTCCCTTCTTGTTTGGATGGGTAGATATAGATAGGTAGACAGATAGGTGGATAGGTTTGGGCAGATGGATAGATAGAAAAGCGAAACAGACCTACACCGATGTAGATGTGTGTGTGTGTACATATGCATTGACCCGGGAAACTGGGTCCCGGTTTCGTCCCCCCCTTAAGCCGAAATTCCGAAGCTTTTGAAGACGAAATTGTTCGCCAG